ATCTGCCAATGTACTCAAAGTAACTCCATCCTCAAAAGGGACAAAAGAAAATGATGTCAAATACAATAGTTTTCCGATGTGTACCATTAATTGTGAATTTTCTGCAAGTATTTTTCAAACAGAAAAGAAATTTTTCTAAACAGCAATGGCCTTATTCAAGATGTCACAATTAAGGTAACAAAAACCATGTCAAAACTGTACAGTTTGTGCTGAAGTCTGACCAACCCTTTCAGCTGTAGATTACAGCTAACCTTGTGCATCAGAAGTATGTTAAAAATTATCAACTAGTAAATTAGAGACTAGTAATTAGTAAAATTAACAATTAGTAATAGTGACTCCAGAATTTGACCCATGGTTTTCAGAACAGTTTGAAAAGGTATTTTCACCCAACACATGCTCAAAGTTTTTTTTAAAACTATCCTTTGCATTTTATCTAAGTTGTGTAAGAATTTGTAACCAGAGATTATAGATCAATTACCCATCCAAAGTAAGCAACACTACATGAAAGTTCCAGCTGAAAGTGGGGGCCCATGGTGTTTGATTTTGTACAAAAGCAGAGTGCAATGTATGGAGAGAGAGCATGGAGAGTGAACAGTAAAAATCTGACCAGAGAAAGTTGTATTAAGTAGTTAATTATTAAGAGTTTTTGGAAGAAGGGGTAGGAGTAATGCTAAGTTGATTTTTCTACGGTTAAAATAAAATCATATGGAGGTTTGCTTAAATTCCTCTGATTTTACTTTTTTATTTGAAGAAAAGGGTGTGAGAAGCTTGATTTTTAAGCTGGAGTAACCTAAATCAGGTGCAGAATTTGAAGATTCTTTTACTTTAAGGCACTGTAATAGAGTAGTCTATGAGAAGAGAAGAATCTCGCTCAATCACAGCCTAGAAATAGCAAATGTTCCCTTAACAAACACTGTTAAAGTCTTTATTGACACCATGAAGCAGTCTTTTCTTAAGCAGACAGTTGAGCTTCTCAGAATAATATCTGTACTGTGGCACAGCAATATTTACATGCACAAAAGAGGGATAATTGAACACTTAGGACAAATTCAGAGCTGCTGTAGTGGGTTTAACTTCTTTGAAGTCAAATGATTTGCACGTGCCTGCATCATGGCCGAGTGTGATCTCTTCAGTTTTTCAAAGTTATGTTGCTGAAGATACTAAGGCGACTGTTTGGAAATGTATTTCCTAATCATAGCATTCCTTTTCCACTAAGGATGTGGCTTTGATCAATTATTTACTTACTCGGTCTCAAACAGATCTACACTTTTCAAAACCTTCCTTTGTTCAGTTTGTACCCAAACCACATGTCCTTGGTATCAGCTTCTGCAGAGTCTGAGACAAGCAATGGCTGCAGTTCCATGCACTTCTGAAAGATGAAACAACATGAAGGAAACAATCATGATCTCTGAATTTTTTTATCTCCTCTATTATGTGACTGCACTAGAATATCCTCACCAGCAAAAATCCTCTGCAGTTATCAAATGCCTCAGCTTTGTTTCAGTGCTTAACCAGCTGTAAAAGACATTTTATTGCCTTGTATATTCTTCCACCATAAAACTTATCATTTAAGTAAATCACTTCAGTGTTAGTTTATAGATTACTTTAAAATTGAGAGGGTTTTTATAATTTGTTGTCACTAGCGGCCAGGTATGCATAGCGGCACAAGCAGCAACCTGTACTGCATTATTTGTAGGGGAGGTTACCCCATGAGTAATGCAACCGTCCTCATGCCCTGCTGAAGACGACCATCTGGCTGCTGTGCGCTACCAGAGCAGCTTGCCAGCAGGCATGGCTCATTAGGAGCCCCATTGCAGGGTGTAGCATCTTTGCAGTAAATTAACAATGCTGCTTTTTAAAAAGGTCCAGATCCTTCCTGATTCAGCAAAGCACTTCAATACATGTTCAAAGTGAAATGCTTGATTAAAATTTTGTATAATAAAGTTGCGAGTTCTTGTGCTTGAGGTTAAACAGGTAAGCGCGTTCTCTAATCAGGGCCTGACATGTTATGGTTCTTTGGGGATTCCAGGAATCTTGAATATCCTGAAATACTGACTTTGCTGATTTCCAAGCTGAGTATAACCTACAAATGAAAGCCAAAACCAAGCCATGTTACTGTGAAGCGTGCAGGAAAGCCTTCTAAAATGTTTCCTGGTCATCACTGATGCTTGTCTAGTCAAAGAAATTCTAGCAGACTGTTTACACTTTTGTGACCTTAAAATAAATAAAAGAAATTACACAAGCCTAGTTTTCTGGAAATGAAAAAAAAAAAAAAAAAAAATTGGTAAAATAAATTTATTCTCTGTAGCTAGAAGCAATAAGAGTGAGTTGTTATACGTCTCCTGACTGTAATACTTCTCACTGTACAAGGTGGTATTTTGTAGCCTCCTGCCTGTGGTCAAGTAAAGAAGTGAGTATTAGGAGAACCAAAATCCAAGTTTTTGCCCTGTTTTTTTATGTAACAATGTGTGCCACTCTCCCTCATTTATTTTCTGGTGTATAATATTGACTTATTTTAATACCTTACTGATAAACAATTTATCGTGTATTTATTAGGAGAATGTCTTTGCTCCAGTTCAGTGGGTTAACCGCAGAATCAAAGCTATTCCCTTGCTGCTTGTGAGTTATTTATAAACATAGTCACTGTGTTGCTTGTGCACTGGGTCTAAATACCTTACTATGCGGTCTAAACTTGGCATTTTCTGTAATAGTATATTAACTTACAGCTTGCTGCTTCATCTTCTGTAATGTTTGATCTTATATACTCACTGAAACAGTGCAAAACTGCAGCTGGCTGCAGTCAGTGTAGATTCAAGCCCCAAATAATTTTTAAACACAATTTGTTGTAAGTGACTAATTGGTGAAGCATGCTATGAATGTGGAGTGTTTTATTCTTCCTCTTACTTTGTTTTATTAGAGAACAAGTGGAAATAAGTTTCTGGTGTGTGACATCTTGCTTGTATGTTTTCAAGGTTTTATTTCAGTCTGAAATGGGCTGGAGTGGCATTTTTAAGTTATTATTTGGACCTGAAACTTAAAACCAGATAGCCCAAACAAATGTGTTTCCTGTACAAAGACTGCCTAGAAGTAGCTGGAACTTGGTCACAGCCTTCAAGGTAGGCACAGCACCTCCCGTTGAGGTGCTTGGGGTGTCACCCTCCCCAATGGGGCTGGTGCCAGCTGCCCTGGTGGCCTCTGGACCTTGGGGGTAGTGGTCTCTTGCAGCCCAAACGGTAAGGCAGGAGTTAGATCCCGGGGTCTGTCTCCAGTTTTCACTCTCGGATTCCCTGGATCTGTTCAGGGGTAAGGCTCTGAGGCTTCACAGGTTACTATGTTTCAGATATGTTGGGAAAATTGCTTGAACACCCCAGGGGTGCAGATTCTGGAAGCAATTAAATCTAGAGAGCTGACGCAAACACTACTACAAGACCGGATACCAAAATCCACATCTATCACAGCTCACCAGAAATCCACATGAAAGTTCAGTGAAAGCCCCACCTTTGCCTTGTCCTAAATTTCCATGTATTTCAGATAAAGTGTTTTAGGTTTGATGATGAGAACCTCTTTAAAATGAAGCATTCCCAGCAAAATGTCCAGCCCCTCCCAGACACAGGGCTGAGCCTGAGCTGCATCAGAAAATGGGCAAACTTTGGAAAAGTTTGGACCACATGTGAACTTTGCCATTGATCAAATATAAACGATCCTGCTCAGACTCTAACAGCTGAGCTGAAGCAGAGCTTTTGAAAAGATTGTACTTGGATCACAGTTTTATGGCTATCTCTAAAATATTTTATTGCTGTTTTATGATACCAGAGTGTAAATTATGGGTCTATAAAGACTTGTGATGTGAAGGTTTTATCCTTTGCTTATGTACGAAACATAAGTAGTACCCTTTTGTTTTTAGGGAAATATATATTTTTAAAAGTACAGCTTAGAAAGCCATGTGTATTAGTAAGAAGAACACCTTACTCAATGTTTTTTATAAATGTGGGTAATTTATTTGTATTAGCTGGTAGTGTGTAATTATTTTCAGTCCATTGATGTAGGTCAAACAATTAAAAGGAGGGGGGGAATAAGTGCGTGTTGTATGATGTAAATACTACTAGAGCATAAGTAGTGTGTATAACTGTAAGGATCAGAGAGGTAGTATCTTTTATTAGATGAATTAATGGGGGAAAATATCTTTTGGAAGCACAAGGCCTTTCTCAGGTCTGAAACAAACCTTATGTAGTTTGCGTGTAAAGATAAGGAATCAACTTATACTATGTGTGTACACGTACATATGTGCCTATGCAAATGCAGTTACATAGATACAACAACAGGTACAATACTGACTCTTTTGTATTAAAATTGCATAGTCGTATTCTTCATTTTTAGAATAGGAATGGTAACAAATGAAAATGTTTAGTCTTCTATTACATTTTTAAAGCTAATATAAAACTACGTAATTCAAGAAAAGTGTAATATTTTAGAGTCAAGAGGATTAAAGATCACTTCCCTTTGGTTGTGACTTCATTGGGATTCATCAGTAGCTTACCCTGTCCTTTGTTTCTTGGGTTCTGTATCCAATACTCCTTCAGATTTTGCTCCATCTGATGTTGAGATGACTTACCGTCATTTCCTTCCACTATCTCATGCTGAGTGACTATGGCCAGAAAAATTGTTTTTATCTGCTCCTTTTAGTTAATGTTCTTGTTCCAGACTTTCTCAGATAAATTTTTTCACAAGTTATAAACCAGTTATTTTATATCTGTAAACTCCATGTTATTCTTCTGCTCCCAACCTTGCCACCAGTATCCTTTACAGTCTCTGAGAAAAATGCTGGTTTATGCTGATCGGATGCTGATTGGGATGAAACTGAAGTGTGGTGCTCTTGTTCTCCAAGACTAGAAGGACTGGAATGGGACTTGAGTGGCTATAGTCATGTGAAATACATGTTTTTAGTGGTCCTAAATCATTATTGGTCACATTTCTTAAAGGTGATGTCTTTATCCTGCTAGGAGATGCAGACGGATCACTTTACCAGCTGTCAAGGCAAATGTTGCAGTATAGTCCTTGCTCTCAGCAACGTTCTCAGTGTCCTGGTGATGGGGTGCCTTGGAAGGACTGCGCAGAACAAGCTTTGTACTACCTCTGCACTTCAGGTTCTCTGTGCTGTAAGTACACTATAATGTTGTGGCTGCCACTTGCTGTTTCCAAACTGGTTAACTAGGAGTGTTTTGGCTTAACATCTGGAAAATATATTATGATTTTATGCCTTTTAGGTGAATGAAACTTTGTATCTGGCTCAAATAAATAAGAAAGTTTCTTTGATGTTGATCTCTTAGCCCCTGTAATCAGTAGAAGTTTCCATGATTGCTAGAGAAATCAGGATTTTTCCTGTAGTGCATTACAAGCATGCTGTAAACAACACAAAGGTTGTAACTGACAGACAGCATCTGATAAAATTCATTCTCATGCTCCTGCACCTAACAAGGAAGGGAGGAGATGCTTTTTGTTATTTTGAAGGTATCTTCCCTTCAGATTATAGGATCTATAATCTATCTAGTGGTATTTCTGAATATATGGAGAGAGGGATGTTGAAACAATGTTATGTATAGAGGTGTGTATTCTTCAACTGTAAGAAAGATGTGCCTGCAACCTAACTGTACTCACTTTAGCCGAAAAAAAACAATTTGGGGAAGAATTTAGCTGAATGGTTATTTTTGGTCTGGCAAAGGGGAAACCGACTGAGTGACTGTCATTACTCTGATGCTGATTACTGGAATTGACCAGCTTAAGGGCAATTTGCTAACTTTGTTTAAAAACAAAACTGGTCTTTCTGGGTCCAACTGTGATTTGGAAAGGGAGGAGCTCTAAACCACTTCTTTTCTTTTTTAAAAATAAATTATTTTTAAAAAAAGATTCCTAGCCGAAAACATTATCCGAACCTCACATGCTGTGGGATTTAGGGAATTAACAGGATGATTCAGACACACAATCCTCACATTCATTCCCACTCCTGAGAATTTTCCTTAAGGAATAAAACTTCTTTCCTGCAATTGGTCAAAACCTAAACCAAACTAAACCCTCTTCGGTTTTTTTTGGGTTTTTTTTGGTCTGACAACTAATAAACCTAACCTTAAGATCTGGTGCACAGTAGTCCAGTATAACCTCAGGATATGAGCGGTGTGACTTTAGCAGGCGTTTGCAGTGCTCCTCCCTGCGATCTCTTGACTGATACGTTGTCCGATCACTCCTTCCCTTTCCTCTCCTCTGCTCCATATGGAGACTTGTGCCAGCAAGGGCTAAAGGGTGGTTCAAAGTATTCCATTTTTGTTTTTTTCTTAGGGAGTGGGACAGAAGGTGCAGAGAGCACTGCCGTGTGTATTGGTTTTGCATCTCTGTGAAGAGGGCACTGCTTGAGCACTGCCCATGAGAAATAGAAAGTTGTGATCTTGTAGCCCTGTGACTCTCTTGATGTAACTCTGCTTTCCTTTTCCTATATGGATGGGGGAAAAGGTCATATAAACTGCAATGACTCTTTCTGCAGCAGGAATAAAGAGTACTCAGAATGTGCAAAATTCCCAAGGTGGGCACAAAGAATCAGTTTATGATGAATGGTTTCACACTGTTTCCCCTTTTGTTGCTGCTTATCAAAACCAAACTCACTCAAACAAAATATACCCTTTCATTTATGCAGGAAATAAAGCAAGTTAGTGAGACTTGGTGCCTGTACGTATAGTGCAGTTTAGTTTGAATGCCCTCACACAAGTGCATTTTCTTGCTTTTGCCCACTTAGGAATGCTTCCCTTGGTGCTTCTCCTGCCAGTTTGATTTAAAAGTTCCTCTGACATAATCTTTAGTGTTTTAAAATTTATAGTCTGATCCCCCCTGCCCTGGTCATTCTTTATACCAGAAACTTCTTTATCCATCCACTCCTTTGGTCCTTCTTTTGCTCCTTGAATTAGAAAAGTCTCTTAACTTGCATTCTTGTGTTATCTGGTCCTCAGTTGAATCAAGTAGTACCAAGCTACCTGGGGATCTCCTGATTTTCTTTATTATATATGTATTCTCCGCCTGTTTTTTTTTGGTTTTGGTTTTCTTTTTGGTTTTTGTTGGGTTTTTTTTTGTTTGTTTGGGTTTTTTAAATTCTGTTATTTTTATTGCTGGCCAAATTCAGGCCATGTTGGTCAATCTATCTGACCTATCTCTCCTGCATCTTAGTTCACTAGAGTCTCTATGGGTTTCTTTAAAAATTCACCTGAGTTTGACTGTTTCAAGCTTCTCTGCTGTTCCAGTCTTATTTCACAGCTGCTTCTCTTACTGTGTCTTCAGTTTGGGGGTAATCCCAAACTAGACCAAGTTTACTAAATATCATGCAGGATTTTCCCTTTCACTGGCACAATTCTAGGCAACTAGATCTACAGCTGCATTGCTCACTGCATTTTAAAGACAAATCCAACCTGATAGGAGGATCAGAGTGGCTGCCTGCAGTGTGTTGCCTTTCACCGCATTCCTGATTCCCGTTTTGATACACCAAATGCTGCCAACATCCTTGTCTCTTAGGCGCTTCTGTAGTTCTGCATCTCTCCTCCCTTTCCTCTAGCTGATGTTTCATTAGTGTTTAAATCTACATCCAGTTGTGCTTTTATTACACACACAGATGGAAACTGCCCAATGATTCCTTTTCATTCCCCCCCTTTCTTTTGTTTTGTCTTAAACATATTCAAGGGGAAAACAGGAGGAGGGATGCAAAAGGAGGGGTTCGGTCTAGACTTACAAAGCAATTTCCTTTTCTCTACAGAGCACAGCTCATTTCCTTCCAGAGCAGTGTGGCTGGGAAGTTGCACATTTCTTCTCAGTGCTGACTTTCCTGAAATCTGTTGAGTCAAAGCACAGCTACTAGGAGTGGTCCAGAAGACAGTAAACACAAGTGTGTGAGTGTTCGTCCCTCTCTTTCTGCTGAACGGAAGAATAAACAGAGATTAATGTGGAAAGGAGAGGGTGGTCTAGATAAGCAGCTACAGGGTGGAAATGTTGACAGAAAATAGACAAATATCCATAGACACACCTGCATTAGGGCGTTTCTGCATTGTGAGGCCTCACAGGGCTTATTTTTGCCATAAATGTCTCAAGGACAGAAGACTGAGCAATGTGGAGGTTGATGATTTGCCTGAGGGTAAATTACAAGGTTTTGCCTTTGGAAAAAAAAAAAAAAGTTTATGGTTGTAAATTTAACTCTTCATATGTTGCTTTTAGCCAAACAGGAGAGTTTTTTCCTTTAAAATGTATTTACATTTGCTGTTTTTGAAAAGTATCCCATTTAGTACTGTTGCATCCACTCTTAACAGTTTTATGTGTTTGCTTTAAATCAAATTAATAAAGTGCTTTAAGTAAAATTAAAAACAGACCGAAAGAGTAGCACAGTCATGACTGAGAAACTTTCCTTCTGTGAGTTCAGCATACTCTTTGCTTAATTTTTTCAGGTGAATTAAACTCAGTTTGGAAAGGAAATGCTTCTTAAAAAAAAAAAAAAAAAGGTGATGAGATCATAACCTGTCAGCTCCATGGGGTTTCTAATTTAGCTGGTGTCTTTATGTGTTTGTTTACTTAAGAGATGAGATTTCTTCTGTGTTGAGAGTGTGTGGAAACATGAACAGGAAGATGGGCTGGAATATGACTATGTGCTTGATTTAAGATAATTATTTCATACATTCAGTTTGGCTTTTGCTTAGCAAGACAAAGTTACATGGTATTTATTGTCTTGCCACCAGTAATTGCAGATTCATTGCTTACTTCTAAGTCTGAATAAGCTTACAACTGATTTCTTTTGTTAATTGTCAGAAAATGCACAATGAAACTTTAAATGAGTGCTTCCAAACTACTAGATATTGGAGTTACTCAGGAACTTGAGTTGATTGATTTTTTTGGTTTTTTTTTTAATAGAGTAGATGAGGAAACCGCCTTTACATTTCATCTCAGAAATAGAAGTTCAGCAAACTATAGGCAAAGGAGCTTTAAAAGATTTCATGCTTCCCAGAGCCTTTGCCTTGAATTCCCAACTACAGAAAACCTGTCTGCTATTAGCCACAAGTTGAAACACCACAGTGTTTACACCTCTCCAGCTTGATGACATTTTTTCATGTAAAGGAAAAAGCCTGGCTTAGGACGAGGTTGTGCATGGCTAGGCATGCTGATGGGGAGTGGTTACTACATCCACTTGATCATCCTACACTGGATAGTGCCAAGCTATTGGTGCCTCAAAATTTGGGAGTTTTTATCTGACATGGGAGACTTTGTAAGGACAAGAAAAAGACGTTATGATATGTAATGTAAAGACCATGTTATGGAGCTCATGCTGCAAATTATAGACCTTTTTTTTTGTGAGGGTAGCATAGCTGCTTCTTGCTTGCTTCAGCCAGATTGCAGGTGGCCAGACTGGTACAGGGAGGTACAACTTTTCCATTTGCAGAAGTACCTCTGGAGTCAATAGATGTGTAGCTGGTGGCTGAAGATGCTTGAGTTAGTTACAACCTTCTTATAATCCATCCAGCTGTGTTGAACTGGTTGGCTTGAGGTTTTGACAGCTGTGACTGGTAGGGAAATCTCTGCTTTGTTAAAGGAAGTTCTGCAAGTGCCAGGTACTCAAGATGAAACAGAGGTGGGGGGAGAAAGGTGGCTATGACATTTCTACTGATATCATCTGCCACTGAGTGATCACTGTGGGTTTCTTCCTGAAATGTGTAAGTCTATGTAGTTTGAATGTCTTTTTTTTGGCCTGTTTGCTGTCTATAGTAGGTGCTAAGGCTGCATTTAGTAGATCATGTGAGGGTGAGAGGTAATGGTGCTGCTTTCTAAGAGGGAGAAGGGGTACACAACAAATACAAATTATTTAGAAAATACTACTTTTGTGGCTGTGATCATGGTATTACTGGGGGTTTTTAAGGCTCAAGGCAAGGTCAATGCACTCTGACCAAGAGGAAAAACTGCAATAGTAGGTCATATTTTTACCCGGACATGAAAAGACAGGCCAGTATCTCATGTTTTCAAGTAATTTTTCATCTTGTTTTTTCAAATGTGCACTCTGATGTTACTTGGATGGAAGGGGGAGACTCATCTTTCTGGCACAAATTGAAGTTGTGAGTGTTTTTGTACATATAGTCACTCAGTCTTG